TTCTGGCTAATTGTGTCACTTTTTCCTTAATTTCACTTAATGCCTTGATTTTAGAAATATTTTTACTTTTCTAAAAGTTTCTATACCTTTTTCTTATCGCGCGCGTGCATGCAAGAGAGGAATATAAACAAAATAAAATAAAAAACAACTATTTTACATTTATAAGAGATATATGTTATTTATTGTATTTCTAAATAGTATGAGAAAAATAAATAACATGAGATATAAATACATTTTATGAGTGATACAAATAGTTCGAAAATTAGTGCTTGGGGTATTTAAAGAAGAAATTTTTAAGAAAGGACTTTATCAAGTCACTCTTACTATATATATATGATGTGATGTATGTATGATTATGTACTTTATGTTTGCGCAATAAAAACACAACAAAATCAAACAAAGAAAATAGTATATTTACTCATACACACCTTTATATAATCATATATAAATATATATATTCATATTCATTTATATATAGGTGTATCTATTTATGTATGGACAAATTTGGTATATAATTTTGTATAATTAGATATGTACTATTTTTGTCTAATTATGTATGAGAAATTTTTTACCGGGCAGTAAGTATTTTCAGTAATAATGTATATATTTTATGAATTATTATAATTCATAAATTAGACTTATGACAGCAAGTAAAATTTTCCTCGGAGAGGACGTGTGTGTTTTCGAACATAACCAAAAAAATGTAAGCGGAATGGCAGCACGCTGAGGACGGCATTGTGAGCCAATTTTTGTTTACTAAGTGATTTCTTCTGTAATGTTTTTTGTTTACTTTATTGAACCATGGTTTTCTTCTCTTTTTTCATAGAAAAGCGAAAAATTCTATTCCTTTAAATTGACTCTCCGTGCATACAATTTAATTTTTGTTTTTTCCAAGCTTCTCTTGGAAAATGATTTGTACAATTGTTGATTGAACTTCTATCATTAGATCTTCTTGTTTCTTAGTTTTTTCTTTGGCAAGATTGTCTACAATTTTATTTTCTGTGAAACCTAGATAAGCTGGTATCTACATACATACCCGGTAAAAAATTTCTCATACATAATTAGACAAAAATAGTACATATCTAATTATACAAAATTATATACCGAATTTGTCCATACATAAATAGATACACCTATATATAAATGAATATGAATATATATATTTATATATGATTATATAAAGGTGTGTATGAGTAAATATACATTTTCTTGTTTTATTTTGTTGTGTTTTTATTGCGCAAACATAAAGTACATAATCATACATACATCACATCATATATATATATATATATATACTCATACAGTACACAAAGATTGCATACACATTGCATCAATTCTTTCATCGCAATGTTGCAATATTGCAAATTCACTGCAAAATGTTGTTGCATCATTGCCGTATAACTTCGTATAGCATACATTATACGAAGTTATACGACCCCCTTACTGTCATTTTCAAGGAAATTCATGTAA